GCACACTAGTGTGCCGCGGCACAGTGGTTGAAAAACACTGCTCTGGAGGAAGCAGTTTTCACCCTCCCAGAGGCTGGAAGAAAGCCTCAAGAGCCTGGGGAGGGCGAAAAACGCACGCACCCACCCACCCACCCTCCATAGTGCAGGAGGCTGAGTAGGCCACACCCAACCAGCAATGAGGCAGCGAACCTGTTGCTGCAATTTTTGAAGCCCAGCCCTGACTATAGTTATAGCTTTAAACTCGATAAGTGCCCTTTGAACCCCTGGAATATTGGAAGGTGCATCTGGTTGACCCCTGACAGGGTCACTCTGGTTTGCTCACCAGGATTTGTTGAGGACAGAACTCAAACAAAAGCCATAAATCCTGCTTCTAATGATTTAGCCTTCGATGTAATCTAGTCTAATAAAAGTTTATAGCCTTCACTAATTACAATGCTTATTGTTTCTGAACCTCTTCAAAAGAAGCTCTGCCCTTTGGCAACACACCAGCAGCCTTGTTTCTAGTGCTGGTCCCTGAAAGGAGCCCCAAGTTGGTTGGCTGCCTCTTCTTAGGCTCAATGGAAGCATATTAATCAAACCTCGGTCTTAAACGGGTGGCTGTTTTCTGATGGGTGGTGGACGTTTACAAAGTACAAGTAGGAAATATAAACTTGTTATAATGATTTGTTGGTCATGGCTTCTTACGGTGCCTTTGTAGTGGAACTTCCCACTGGTTATGTTCATTTGGAAGATTGCCCCGGCCCTTTGTTGCGGAAACACGGTAGTCGTCAAGCCAGCCGAGCAAACTCCACTGACTGCTCTTCACATGGGCGCTTTAATTAAAGAGGTGAGTTGCCATAGCAAAAGGACTGTGTGCCGGTCCCGAAGAAGAAGGGAAATGGATGTAAATGTGATCCCTACATTACGGGGCATATAAAAGGTAAGGGCTAGTCTGCTTTGTGTCAGAGGAGCTCACAGCATGCCTGGCCTTGTCTTGGGCTATTGTGTTGTATTGCAAACCACTGAAGCACATCAAGGGCTAGAAGCTCACATGCTTTTCCAGCCTAAATTGTTCAGAAAACAAATCATTAGCAGCTTAGTAAACTGAACATCTTGGCAAAGCTGACGCTTCGGGGGAGGCAAAAACAAACAAGAGCCGGCTCAGAAAAAGCAAAGGGAGGGGCAAGGAGGGGGGGGATGAGAAGGGTGGTTTTGATGTTTCACATGAGCCTTTTGGTGATGAAATCTGGTCATTCGACTTGATGTTTTAATTTAAGTTTTCTCACTGAAGTATTTGCCTTACCCAGTAAGTGAACATGAGCTGTATGAAACTGTCAAGTGTCAAGCTAGGTGTGTCCAGGGTAAAATACACCTGTTATGAAGTTGTAATTCGAAACATCCTCTCTTAGAAGCCACTTGGATCAAATGAATGGAACAGAGCCTACGTTGCGGTGGGCAACATTTCAAGCTTTGGCCTTCAGTCCAAAATCTTGCATAAGGTCCTGGCATGTGAAGTAATTGCAAGCAATCCGCCAGGACTGCCCAGTTCTACAAGCTTGCTGCTTCTTCTTCCCAGGATCTCATGAGTTCTCGTGTCAAAAGTGGCCCAGACCAAAAGAAATCCGATTAAATTGTTTTCTACAAATTGAGGTTCTTTTTAAAGCAAGCTGAATATTGGGAAGAGGGTGTCCTGCATATAACAGGCCCTGAACCAGATACACAAATGCAGCCAGCCATTAAGTAATGTAGCAAAGGGCAGCTAAGATTCTGCAATGATCTGTGGTCAAAAGTATTATTCAGAGAGCTTATTGCTATACAATCACATTCCTATACAATCTTGGAAAAAAATACAGGAAGCCCATAACTTATAACTATTGGTTTGATTTTAGAAGTTTTGACCAATGACTTAAAACCAGTACTTACACTTGCAACTGTTGCAATACATCCAATATCATATCATTGTGATTGGCAACCCGCATGTATTTGTGACTGTTACAGTGTCCTGAGGTCCCACGATCGCCATTTCCGATCACCATTTGCGATCTTCCCAGCCTGCTTCCAACAAGCAAAGTCACTGGTTTCATTTAACGGCTATGGTGATTTAACTATAGCAACAACAACAAAAAGAGTAATATAATCAGGTGCCCTTTAATTAATGATCTCATTGCTTAGCAATGAAATTACAGTCCCAAGTGTGATCATAAGTCAAAGACTTTCTGTAAAGTGATTTGTGCTGATTTGAGGGTGAGTTAGGCCATACTTTGAATACTCTCTCATTTTTTGGTCCATTAATATACTAGTTTTCTTCTTTTTGGAAGCCTTCTAAGCTTTGGATTTTGTGGAGAAATTAGGGTCATCCTTTGGACTTGGCCTGGTCAAAGAAATGCCTGTCTAACAGAATTTAAATCTTACCTTGGAGAAAGCGTAAAAGATCTGCTAAGGAGTGAGCCCCTAAAGAGGGATTTAGTCAAGAGTTACACACTCCAGAGACAGAAAGAAACGGGGGGGACACCCCCTTCAGAGTAATATTTGGGTGAAGAAATTTGGGCAAGCTTTTAAGATTCCATTGGTATACCCTGCCAGTGTTTCTCAAACTTGGCGACTTTAAGAGGTGTGGACTTCAGCTTCCAGAATTTCCCAGCCAGCAACTCTTGAGAGTTGAAGTCCACACCTCTTAATGTTGCCAAGTTTGAAAAACAAGGTCTTACAATAATAAAGTAGCATTCTTGAATAACATCTGCTTCTTGAGTAGGCATTCCTCAAATGGCTGACAGCCTGGTTCTCTCTGTATGAGTGCTTCTGCATGAGAACTTAGTTTTCTCTTGGCTCCACGTTGGGCAGCCACCATCTTAGATTGTCCCACATGCCATTAATTTCTTGGCATGGTTGTCATGGATCATGAGTAATTTGAGAAAGCTATTGTTAGCAAGACTAGAGCAGAATACCGATTTAGTTTCTGTTGAGAAGTGTCACCTTCTAATGCTATATCAGCAACTGGCTTGCTTATTGAATAGCCAATATGGAGCAGAGGTGAATTCAGAATTATGGTGAATGATTGATAAAAGTTAAGTGATGGAAATAGGTGATAGTAAATCATTAGTAACTACCATTCTTGAAAAAAAATTCAACAGAAATTTTGGGCTCAATAGAAGCAAGGTTTGCCAGCCACAATTAGTTGAGATCACACAATACTTTTGCCAAATATATACCCTGGTATGAGATGATACATGAATCTAGTCTTGAGAAAGAATAAAAATATAAGAAATTGGGAAAGCTCTACTGAAAGGTGACAACATTTTACTCTCTCCTTCCAGGCAGGATTTCCACCAGGAGTGGTAAATATTGTGCCAGGTTATGGCCCTACTGCTGGAGCAGCCATTTCCAATCACATGGATGTAGATAAAGTGTCCTTCACAGGCTCAACTGAGGTAGTTCCTTAATATTGTGACAAATTGAAATAGAAAAAATTAAGTTCCAGTTCTGACAAATCCTAATTTGTTTCTGTATAATTGGGTTGGCTTTTTCATTTTTAACTGAATTAAACAATCTATCTGTAATTATTTCTTGATTACAGCATCCTAAATGCTTCTTTTCCAGGTGGTGTTCAAATCTTATTTTGAATTTTCTGGAATTCTATGTTGTAATTTTTTTTACTACATTTTGGGACACCACATTATTTTGAATTGTGAAAAAACAATGACAAATTTGATAAATAAATGCAAATAAAATATATCCTCTCTTTTAAAAAACTCAAAGAGTTTTGGAAGATGATAATCAAGCTGAACAACAGCAGCACTTTTTCCAAAGGTAGCCACTGTTGGGATCATGTAGAAAAATCACATTCTGCATTTTCATATTTAGGCATTCAAAGAACATATATGTTCTTATATTCTGTCTTGTTGGACACATTCCACATTTTTAAAATATAGTTCATAGGAAGATGCCTTATTATAACTCAGAATATTTGCATCTCAAGTCCCAAATTATGTATTAAAATCAAATTCCATTTTAAATTGTTTTTATCAAATTTTAGTAACAATTTGTTTCTGGAACTTCGCACTTTGATATGGTCCAAGGGCTAATCAATAAAGATTAAATGTCAATATTCAAGGCAGTATTGTGATTTGCAATCTCCTCCTTCTTGCAAATCAACTAATCTTGAGTGGCACTTTCTCTTGAAAGGGCTCAGCTCTGTTTAGTGTCTTTCCTTTCCCGTGATGGTTGACAGTGACCCAAAGGATGTCAAAGAGAAATGCGATACTGTTCTTTCCACCAAGTGGCTTTGTCACTTTAGAGCAGGGGTAGGAAACTATGACAACTTTATGACTTGTGAACTTCAACTGGCTCAGGAATTCTGGGAGTTGAAGTCCATGGGTCATAAAGTTGCCACAGTTGTCCATCCCTGCTTTAGGGATATTATGTTAGGAGCCATTTGCCAACCGTGACCACTGCCAGAACCAAAAACGCCCATGGTCACAGTACAAAAGCTCGTGACCAAATTATGGGGCTAGAGTCTGAAAGGAAGTGGTCAAAGCAGGCATAACCAGTGCCAAAAAAGAGCAGTGGTCACCTCACAATCTTTTTTCAGAAGGCAATTGCATTTCAGTTTCCATCCCATTTCCTGTCTCAATGTTTCCTTTGTATTCCCTTCAGGTAGGTCAAATGATCAAAGAAGCTGCTGGGAAGAGCAATCTGAAAAGGGTCACTCTGGAACTTGGCGGGAAAAGCCCCAATATCATTTTTGCAGATGCTGACTGTGAGTGTGGATCCTTGACTCAGGATTTACTTTCTTTAAAAGTAAACATTAATCACAAGAGATAACAGGACTACTTTTCTTTGCAGTGGATAGTGCTGTGGAATTTGCGCACATTGGTGTGTTCTACCATCAGGGGCAGTGCTGCATAGCTGGATCTAGGATTTTCGTGGAAGAGAAGATCTACGACGAATTTGTGCGTAGGAGTGTGGAAAGAGCCAAGAAAAACATCCTAGGAAATCCTCTGTCTCCTGGAGTAAGTCAAGGTCCTCAGGTAAGTTTTAATTAATCACAATATCATTGGTTTTCAAGAATCAGCCCTAATGCACGATTCCTGGCAGCTTGATTGAAGCCTCATTGCTTGCCAAAATACTTTTATAAAAGTTTAATACAGCTCTTCAGTGTGATTAGCTCCTTTCCTTTGAATAGTCTTTGTCTATGAAAGCATTGCCAAATGGAATTCAATTCCTCATTTGATTTTCACATAACACTTACCTGTCTCTTCGAGGCTGTCCCAATTTCCTGGTTCTCTGAGGCTCCAGCTTCCTGTTTCCTTCTGCACACCTGCTGAACTTGCTCTAGCTGCCTTCAGGCAACTGAACTTAGCTAGATTTGAGAACCAATTGCTCAACCTAACCCTACCGGGCACAGAGTCCCACCCTATGTGTGATTCTTTGACAAGCGGGCACAGATTGTCTTCACAAAGAACATTTTCCAGACAGATGGTTATTCTGAACCAGTCTGCTTATTAAAAGTAGGATGGTAGCAATACTATTATCTATGACTCTGTTTCTGACAGCATGACAGAAGCTTGGTTATTTCTGTCATTTAACCAGGATTTTCACTTAGAAACTTGGACAGCTCTTTGAAAAGATGCAAAGATGTAACTTCACAAATGTGCAGTCAATTCACAACGAAAATGCTGGATATTTTGTGCAGAACGTATATTTTTCCGTGGTTAGGGAGTTGAAAACATTAGGAATGTGCAAACAGTAATATTTGGCCTGTCCTCCCTGAAATAAATCAATGGGCCTTTCCCCACTTACATCCAGCTTTTGCATAAATACGCCCTGGCAATAATATTTATATGCTATTATGTTGCCTTCATTTAACCTCCAGCCAACAAATGAGATACATACAAATTGTCCTTAATGCATGAATAGTAAAGTAGCATTTACCCCTTAATTTTGTCCGATAACAAGTTGTTATTGTTGTTATTATTATCATCATCATCATTCAAACATGAAACTCAGCCAATGAACATTCAAAAATGCATCACAAATACCACTGACTGGTGCTAATGATTGATACAGGTTGCTGCCAGCATCCTAGGTATCAACCAAGTACCTTCTTAAAATATACGATGTTCCAAGCAGCACAGTTTTTGGCAGTTCTGCTGGTGTTATTGCAGGAAGCTGCGGTTTGTTGATGTATCTCAGAACATTCTTGGACTTGGTACCAAATGCCCCGATGACAATGGGTAGCACTGTTACATGTTTCATCCATAGCCATGTAGTTTCAGTTGTTGTTGTGTTAAATTTTATTTGCCGTTCATCACACATAAGATTCTGTAAATGGCCTGCAATAATAAAAAATGAAAAAAAGTAAAATAATAGAACAATAAAATAAACCAGAAAAAAGAAAGCAGACAAAAATGTATCAACATTAGTTAAAAAATAGATGGGTGAGTGGGGAGCAGAGAGGAGGGGAGATGGAACCTGCTGTCAGTCTAGCAGCCAGAATAACTGAAAGTTTATATAACCTGTTGGACTTTGTCACCATCCCTTATAAGTGAGTCAAGTGGTTAACAGTGCCTTGAAAAGGAAGCAAGGAGGCAGGATTCAGATTAGCATTGAGAACTGAAACTGCAAATTTCATGCGCCTGTCACAGCCTTCCTCAACCTGGCACCCTCCAGACACTTGGGACATTGACTTCCAATTCAGTCTGGGAACTCTGGGAATTTAATTCACTGTGAGGAACCCACTGTAACAAATGAGTCTATAAAAGCAGTTCTCGACCATTCACTTAATGACCGTTTAAAGCTAAGAGAGTGCTAAAAGTGACTTTATAACCACACTCTGGTTGGCCTATGACTGTGTGATTTGCTTAACAACTACAGCAAAAAGGTCGTAAAATCATGTGTGACTCATTTAAGCACTGCATCCCTTAGCAAGAGAGGTTCCAGCCCTAACTCTGCTCATACAGTTTTAACTACCTATAGATAAATATGGTCTACATCCTGGTGGCTTCATGGAGAATAAATTACAGATAATCTTCAGATCGATATTCCTGGAAAAAGGGGATTATGAAAATGTGTGACATTTATATATAGGTTTGCCATCACGGCCTTAGGCATTTCACGATCAGATTACTGTAATGTGCTCTACATGGGGCTACCTTTGAAGAGCATTTGGAAGCTACAGCTGGAGCAAAGTGCAGCAGCACAGATAGTTTGAAGAGCCCCAAGAATGCCTCCTATAATACCACTCCTCTGCCAGCTGCATTGGTTACCAGCCTGCTTCCGGTTGCAATTCAAGGTGTTGGTGGTCACCTTTAAGCCCTTCATGGCATAGGTCCAGATTACTTGAGGAGCCATCTCATCTCACAAGGATTGGCGCGTGCCACTCATGCCAGCAGAGGAAGCATGGTTTGGGTCCCATCAGCACAATTATTCCAGCTGGCAGGGTCCAGGAGGAGGGCCTTCTCTGCTGTGGCTCCTGCTCTCTGAAATATCTGCCCCCCCATGTGAGGTTGGCCTTGACCCTCCTATCTTTTTGTAAGGGCCTAAAGATGTGGCTCTGCCAGTCAGCTTGAGGCTCCAAGGGGGGGGGGGGGGATCAGCGCAATGGATGTTGTTGATTGAGTGATAACAGATCCCACCTCTCCTCCCCACTCCGCCCTTACCATCCATTTGTCCTTGGTTTTAATGTTTTTTTTTAACTCTTTATGTTTTAGCTTAGGTGTAACTGTAAGGTACCCAGAGTTACCCTATGGTAAGATGGGCAGCCAATAAATTTTATAAATAAATAAATAATGCTTAAAATGATACTTCCTGTTCTAAATCTATTCCCCTGTCAAACAAATCTCTGACAATGATTTCAACAAGCCTCCTGTAAGGAACAAATACTATCCTCTCTGACATATAAAGGTAAAAGACTCTGCAGTTATACACAGCCACACAGCCAGAGCACTGCAAGGAAAGTTCCTACATTTTGCAACTGCAATAGCTTTACAAAGGACCTTGATTAATGAGATAAGCATTTTCAAGAATCTTTTTTTTTTAACTGTGGGAAATACCTAATTTCCAGTTAAAGTATGTATAAAATGACTGGAATTGTTCTCTTGGAACCTTGTTAAATTCTTAGATGTGTTGTTAAATCTTTCATATAGCTACAGTTGTGAATTAGGTTTTAAGTTTATGACTTCTACAAAATAACAATCTGGAGAATGACACCCATGCAAACACGGACATTGTGATTCAGAAAACAGCCTACCAAATTAAAATAATTTGAGTGGAATTAATATTATTAAAAGTCTAAGAAAGATCCACTCCATGAGAACATTTGAAGTGTAATAGGGTTTTTTCTGGGGAAAAAAAAGACTTCTGTTCTTTAAATCCTAATTACTGAACTTCATAAAAAGTGCTGGCCCAAAGCCAGCATCTCGATAGCAAATTGTTGCTTCGTTTTCTCCTCCTGGAAGCATTTGTTCCTGCTTTGTAATCCTAAAGTCCCAAAAGTGGCTGGGAAGTGACTTATCAGTGCAATATTTCCATCTAGATTGATAAGGAGCAGTATGATAAAATACTTGGACTAATTGAGAGTGGGAAAAAAGAAGGCGCCAAGCTGGAATGTGGAGGAGGCCCCGGAGGAGACAAAGGCTTCTTCATTCAGCCGACTGTTTTCTCTGATGTTACCGATGACATGCGCATCGCCAAAGAGGAGGTGAGTTGATGCAGCACTCTGGGCATTCAGGCCCAAATGTTTCAGTAGCTGAAACGCAACATGCTTTTTTAATAAGCAAACATGCAGAATTGGAGGGGATGCAAACAGGGTTTTTTCAGCCAGAGTTGAATGACGTGTATCGCAACTAATTAGTTATTCGGAGTTATCTAGGACCAAGAGAGGCTTTCTGGAATCATTGAGTCTGTTCCTGGATCAGGGGTGGGCAAATATGGTGCCTTTACGATCTGGGGACTTCAACTCCCAGAATTCCCGAGTCAGCCATACTGGCTCAGGAATTCCGGGAGTTAAAGTCCATAGGAGGTAAAGGGGCCATAGTTGTTCACCCCTGTCTTAGACTAGTGATTCCAAAGAAGAAGAAAGGGACACCTTGGGATTCTTTTTCCCCTGAATTTCTTTTGAGAAATTGAGAATCCCAGTTGATTTTGTCAGAAGTAGCTTTAAAAGAACATAAGCCATTTTTTAAAATAGAATTAAATAAAGAATTGGAAGGAACCTTGGGGGTCTTCTAGTCCAACTCCCTGCTTAGGCAGGAAACCCTTCAGACAAATGGTTGTCCAATTTCTTCTTCAAAACCTCCGGTGTTTGAGCATTCACAACCTCTGGAGGCAAGTTGCTCCACCAATTAATTGTTCCAACTTTGAGGAAATGTCTCCTTTAGTTCTAATTTGCTTCTCTCCTTTCCATCCATTACTTCTTGTCCTAACCTCGGATGCTTTGGAGAACAGCTTGACCCCCTCTTCTTTGTGGCAGCCCCTGAAATATTGGAACACTGCTACCATATCATCCCTAGTCCTTCTTTTCATTAAACTAGACATACCCAGTTCCAGCAAGCATTCTTGATATGTTTTAGCCTCCAAACCCCAATCATCTTGGTTGCTCTTCTCTGCACTCTTTCCAGAGTTTCAACATCTTTTTTACATCATGGTGACCAAAACTGATAAAATTTGGTAGACCAGATGTGCCCTAAGATGAAGGGCTGAACTTCAGGGCAATTCCACTGTACTTTTTTTTAATCTCACTGTTAACTCCAAGAAAGTGAGGTGCATGATTCTCCTCATCCCCAAGTTAACCTCATCACATCCCACGTGGGCGTGATAGATGGAAATGCAATGATTTGCTAAATGTCATCAAGAGAGATGTGTAGTTGAGTGAGAGTTAAATCATGACCGTCCCATTCCACTTCAACGCTGTAACCACTGTATCGGATTAATTTATTTCAAAGAAATGCGATCCAGCCAGGATAAGCCTAAGATTCTTATCCGAGCTGGAGTAACAAGATGTTATTTCACAGAGTCAATTGTGCAGAATATTTCTATGGGAAGCACTAACATAAAAACTTCTAGTAGCAGACAACAAATTTTCCTCCTGAGTTCCTGCCAGTTGACCACAGGCTCTCCCATTTTCACTCTGGAAGCAGATGGCCAATTCTGGATCAGTTTAGAAATACTTCACTGTCCAGGTAGTCTTCAATGTACAATCATTCTTTTAGTAATCATTCAAAGTTACCACAGCACTGAAAAAAAGTGACTTATGACTATTTTTCACACGTATGACCACTACAACATCCCCACAGTCGTGTGATCAAAATTTCAAATGCTTGACAACTGATTCAAATTTAGGACGGTTGCAATGTCCCAGGGTGATGTGATCCTCTCTTGTGACCTTCTGACAAGCAAAGTCAACAGGGAAACCAGAGTCACTTCACCAACACGTTACTAACTTAACAATTGCAATGATTCACCGAACAATTGTGGCAAGAAAGGTCATAAAATGGGGCAAAACTCACTTAACAACTATCTCGCATAGTAAAGGAAAATTTGTGGTTGTAAGTCGAGGACTATATATTGCACCAGATTTCCCCACACCACACTTCTTATTAAAGGAAAGAGAATAGGTATCTAGCTCAATAGAGACTGAGATTGACTCAGTTACAATAGTCACATTTAGCGAGAAATGTTGCACAAAGGAAGATAAGGTTAGATGACCACCTGAAGTGTCTTTAAAGCATAAGCTCTGAGTTATGAAACTGCCACTTTAGAACTTGGCAAAAGACACAACTTTTAACTTAACTTGTGTCACTTGCTAGTACTCTGAACCTCTATGAATGGTTCCTTTGTCCCTTAAAGTGGTAGAGTTTAGAGCAGGGGTGTCAAACTCAAAGCCCGGAAGCTGGATCTGGCCCACAGGGTGCTTAGATCTGGCCCGCAAGGCCATCCTTGAAACGGCGAAGGACCAGCCCGTGGTACCTCTGGCAGCAGGGCTGTGTGCGGCCCTCCTGAGCTCTATTTTCACTGGCAGAGGGTTGCAGGAGGCCGTTGCAGCCAAAAATGGAGCTTGGGAGACCATTTTCGCTGGCAGAGCACTCGGTCCACCACAGGCACGAAGTGATGTCGAGCTGGCCACGCCCACCCTGCCCCCTCAAGGTCAAACACAACCCTGATGTGGCCCTCAATGAAATCGAGTTTGACACCCCTGGTTTAGAGGAACCAATGATACCATTGCTCCTTTTTTCTGGGAAGGGGTTCAGAGATGTCCCTGGGAGTTGGGGAGATAAAAACAAAAAACAAAGATCAAGATGGTAGCTGCAACACTCAATTCTCACCTCTTTTCACCCTTGTGAAAAAAAAGTGTGGAGCTTCATTTAGATACCTTGTCTTTTCTTTTAACTATCTCTGAGGCTCATCCACAGAATCAACATATTTATATATATCTCTGGCCTTCATTTCCAATTTCTGGTCAAATATATATTTTTGACTGGGGAACAATATTCTTAGCTAATGGCCTTCGTAAGAACTCAAAATCTGAGTCTGGTAGAAGTCTTTTCTTCTCGCAACAGCCCAAGCAAGCAGAATGATTGAAAACCACATTTTACATTGTGCAGTAAGCTCTGAAGATTTTTAAAAAATCCCAAATCCCTATAAACATGTGTGAGAAATGTTCAATATTATAATTTTATTTTTTTTAATGAAAAAAAATTAAAATCGGTAGAAAGGATCTGTTTTACTTTTCTGTCATTATAGCCATATTCATCATTAGGGCAGATTTAGACAATCTGACCAAACTTGCCCTTCATTCTTATTCTTGCCCCACTCACATACCTGGTCTCCTATTCAGAGGGAAACAAAACCACCACAAGACTAAAGGGCTTGTGAATAAATTCCAGAAATCTAAACTGGAAGAAAAATTAGACCAAAACAAACAAATCTCCCAAAAGATCATTTAAATCCTGTTCAAGTTTGTCAGGCAGAAAAAGTGCTCTGGAAGCCTCCCATATATAACCAGATCTGGCCAAGGCATCCCATTTTTTCCTCGGGTAAAGCAATGAGCATTTATTTCTTTGGTATTTTCTTTCTTGTGTTTCTTAATATATTCCAAAATACATATTTCACAAAGGTCCAGTTAAATTGGGACTTTTTAAATTGGGACTCTTGAGACTTCTGATCTGATCTGAGTTTGGAGGTGAATTGACTTTATCGTCCAAATTTATGATTTTACTTCAGATTTTGCATTTCTCCAATATTCTAATGTAATTCTTAGCTCACAGCCAGGTACTACCTGTAATTGTTTTAGTTGCATCATTTTAACGGTAAATACAGGATTTACTGTTTTTATTTTGCATGCACTTACATCTAAGCAAAGTTCAAGATATGTATTGCACATTTTATATATCTATATATTAAAAGTGCATTAATATTAATATTTAATATATATACATTTTAAAAGTGCATATATCTATATATATTAATGCGATGGATTAGATTTTAAAACACATTTTAATTTTTTTAAATATATGCACTTTTAAAATGCAGTCCTTCGCAAATGTGCAGAAGAAGCAGTGAAACAGTGTGAACAGTGAGCATAACAGAAAGTTAAAAGTAAAAGTAAAGGTTCCCCTCACACATATGTGCTAGTCGTTCCTGACTCTAAGGGGCAGTGCTCATCTCCATTTCAAAGCTGAAGAGCCAGCACTGTCTGAAGACTTCTCCGTGGTCATGTGGCCGGCATGACTAAATGCCGAAGGCGCATGGAATGCTGTTACCTTCCCACCAAAGGTGGTTCCTATTTTTCTACTTGCATTTTTACTAGGTTGACAGAAGCTGGAACAAGTAACGGGTGCTCACTCTGTTACGCGACACTAGGGATTCGAACCTCAGAACTGCTGACCTTTCTGATTGACAAGCTCAGCTTCTTAGTCACTGAGCCACCACGTCCCTTCTAAGAGAAAGTTACATGTGTGGAAATAGGTTGTGTCATTGTTTTTTCACTGAGACAATTTCTGTGCTCCATCCGATGTTCTCTCTTACGTTCATTTTAGATGGAGGGGATTCAAGTGTATGAATCATGGAGTTGGAAAAAGCCATATAAATTATTTAAATTAACTATATACTTGAAGCATAAAATTAAAACCTATAGAAACTACCGTATTTTTTGGAGTATAAGACGCATCGGAGTATAAGACATACCAAGATTTTGAAGAGGCAAATTAAAAAAAATGTTTTTGCACTCTGCAGACCTCCCAAAAAAGGGCCCAGTTTTTTTTTTCAAAAAAAGAGCATGAATAGTCTTTAGGAAGCTTGTAGAGTGCTTCGGGGGGGGTGGCCCCAAAAATGAATCCAAAATGGCCCTTTTTTCGTGAAAACGGACGCATTTTTTTGTCAAAAAAAGGGCATGCATAGCCTTTAGGAGGCTTATAGAGTGGTCCTGGGAGCTGGGGGGCAAAATTGAGCAAAAAATGGCCCGTTCTTCGCTCATTTCTGCCTCCCCAGCCCCCAGGAGCACTCTGAAAACCTCCTAAAGGCTATGGACGGCCATTTTGGTGAAGGAGCGGGGTTTTGGGAGGCAAAAAATGCGGTATTCAGTGTATAAGACGCACTCAGATTTTTGAGGGGGAAAAGATGCATCTTATCACTTTGAAAACTACGGTAGGTACTTTGGGTGCAATTGGACGGTAACAGCAATTGAAACTTCTCTATTATTTTTTAACCATTTTTTTTTAAAAAATAATCATTTTATCACTCTTGTGAGTGCTTCCTTTTAAAAGCACTGTGCAGGTGCAATACCATCCTAACTGGTTCAAAATATCAAAGCCAAAAGATAAAAATCCAATAACAATGAACAAGACACCATCAGCCAAACCAATATACAAAGTGAATACTATGTATAGACTAAGAAAAAATATGTTTGGTGCAAATCTAAAATCCTAAATAACATATTGAACTTCTCATTTTTTTTCCTCCTGATTTTGACCTCCATTATTATTGTTATCTTTACATTGACACAGATATTTGGGCCGGTCCAGCAAATCATGAAATTCAAAACTATTGAGGAAGTTATCAAGAGAGCGAACAATACTCGCTATGGTCTAGCAGCTGCAGTATTCACCAAAGACATTGATAAAGCACTGACATTTGCAGCTGCACTTCAGGCTGGAACTGTCTGGTATGTATTCTTCTTTGAGCCAAATTGCATTTGGAAGGGAATTCCGTAGTTTTAGTGCCTCTGCAAAGGTGGTCCTTTCTCACATCACCAATGCCATATGTCATGCATTGGGAAGACATTATAATTTATATTTTACTCTAGCCACTGTTTAGCAACTAAAGTGTCTGGAGTTCAACTCCCTGAATTTCTCAGCCAGCATGCTTGCTGGGGAATTCTGGGAGTTTAATTCCATATATATTAAAGTTGGCAATATTGCTCTAGGCTAACACAGTCCCCTAAGTAACTAGCACTAGGCATTTTGTGCTTGCCTGTTGCTGCTTCTTATGTGAGAGTTCCATGTTTTTCAATAATTTTTCTATTGTGAACCATCTAGAACAGGGGTGCCAAACTCAAGGCCCGAGGGGTGCTTAGATCTGGCCCATGGGACCATCCTGGAAACAGCACAGTACTGGCCCGCAGCGCTCTGGCAGGGAAAATGGAGCACACACACACACACACACACACACACACAGCACTGGCATGCATAAGAATATGATGTAAACTTGTTTTTTAAAAGGCACTCCATGTTTGCTGGCAGAGGGTTGCAGGAGGCTGTCACAGCCTAAAATGGAGCTCAGGAGCCCATTTTCTCTGGCAGAACCCTCGGGCCACCACAAGCGCCCTCCCGGCATGAGTGACATCATGCTGGTCACACCCACCCTGGCCACGCCCACCCAGCCCCCAAGATCAAACACAACCCTAATGCAGCCCTCAATAAAATTGAGTTTGATACCCCTGATCTAGAACATTGTAGAAAACAGTTGGGGTACAATAAATAAAATAAAGCAATTAAAATATTAAGTGCCTTCTATCATTCCTAATTAAGTACACACTGTACTTTGCCCACCCGAGGTATCAGGGCAAAGGGGAATAGAACATCAGTAAATCTATTGATAGATCTCAAGATGATCTATAGTAGATTGTTTGGAGCAGAGAACCAAAGCAATTTGTGGGTCAAATCGTGTATGAGTTTGTTTCTGGTGTTTGTTACAAATGTTTGTCTTAAGCTCAGAGTCAGTAAAAATTAGAATGTATGAATAAAAATTTAAAAGAAATGGAATAAAATGAAATTATTTCCTTTATTTGGAAAAAATATAATCTTACAAACATAGTTTTGGTAAAATTGGGTAAAATAAAACTTCACATTTTAGAGGTGTGTGGAAGCTGAAATGAGCTTAGAAACTTATTTCTGGCAAATAAGCACATATGTGCCCTAAGACAGTCTTCACTCAAAACATGAGGGCACTAATGATAAGATTTGTGTACCTTAAGGGTCAAACCCCTATATTGCCAACCACTGAGGCAATCAGTTTTCACAAATTTCGACATCAAAATCAGAAACACCCCCAAAGAAATATACAAGTGACATAAGCAAAGACCCAAAGACATAATTCAGCCATTTTTACCAGAAGAACAAAAGGTGGACCATAAAAAAAGAGAACTAGAGATTCCTAACATAAATGGCAATGCTGAGAGTAGAAGCCAATACCTAATATAATCACAGAGCTACTTCACCTGTAACAAGCACCTGTCTTATGAGTCCATACCTCTCCCAAGGTCGTGTTCACCAGAACGTGCGTCACAATTGAGACCTCTAAGACCAGGCACTTCTATCAGTGCAAAAATGTCTTACATTCAAGTGGGTTTTTTTCCCTCTCACAGATTTTTTTTTAATATTTCAGATTGTTATCGAAATGGCACATGGTTAAGGTTGAAAATAAAGGAAAGATGAGATGAGCACGTAACAGTTCTTAAGATATATTTGTGATATGGGATATTTTGTGTATAAGCTATGGTCAATGAGAACCAGGTTGATGCATGTGGTTAAGGCATTAGGCTAGACACCGGGAGTTCTAGTCCCATTTTAGGCCCAAAGCCACCTGGGTGACCTTGGGCCAGTCCCTCTCACCCTACGAAACAGTCCATGGCATACCACTCCCAAAAGCTTGCCATAAAAACTGCAGGAACTTGTCCAGGCAGTCTAGACTAAGAGTCAAGAATGATGCACCAAAATAAAAAATAAAAATACTATCAGTCCCAATAGGTACACCAAGAAGTGAAACTGCTTTTATTGAGAGTGGCTGTAACAATAAAACTTGCCAGTTGTACAGCACAATTCTGGTTTTGCTGTCCCTCCTCCTCTTTGATATAATTGAGTGAAATAAGGAAACCATTACCTGGGCTTTAAAAGTGCTTAGCCCCTTTTGGCTAGGCAACAACTCTGCACAGTTTCCCCAAGGTCATCTTCCTTACTCTCTACATATATATTGTAACATAAATATTTGGACAAACATGCTGAGTCACTGCTATGTTGAGTAAGGATTTTAAAAGTTACAAATGCCAGCTTGGGGAAAGTGGGACCAGAGTTTCTTTACAAATGTAAAACTGATATACACAGGGCAAACAAACTCTTATGACTGAATTAAGCTGGTCATTCTACTTATAGTTCTACCCCTTGTATAATTTGTCTTTATCTTTTCTTCTTTTTCCTCAGGGTTAACTGCTATAGTGCAGTGTCTGCTCAAAGTCCTTTTGGGGGATTCAAAATGTCAGGAAATGGACGCGAGCTGTAAGTATAGCCATTAGGCTTTGCTTCAGATTGAAGTGATCGGTTTGCAACTGTGCGACACACAAGGAAATGTTAGCATTCATAAATCAGTTGTATGATTCTTTGTCTTAAAATAATGGGATTGTTACTGTGCATTCTTGTTTGTGGGAGACTTATCTTCACACTATAGAGTTTTTAACTGTTCCATTGCATTTATGAGGAAGGAATACAAGGAAGTGTTACCTTGTGTGACGATCCTTTCATTCTATGCTATCCATGAGCCATTTTTCAGTAGAAATGATTTCATTTTTTTATTCAGAAGTTGCTGGAGGGGGGGGATAAATGGCATATTTACTATACTTCTGGTGTTCAGGTTCATTGTCTGCTCTGGTTAACTAGTAACAAGTTAGTTATTCTGATGGTGTTTTCCAGGGCTGTCAAACTCATGGCCCATAGGGCAGATGTGTCAATGCTGACCACACCCACGCCAGTTTAGCAAAGGGGGGGGAGTCACAATACGTCACATGACGCCACCGTGACGACACTGGTTTGACACCCCTGGTCTAGTCAGCATCCAAGAATCAAGCAATTTGTCTACATGCTCCCCGGAGAGCTTGGTTTTATTTTTACCTAATAGCAGCCCACCCACCCCCCACCCCCCCAAAAATAGTATCAGGATCAAATACATCATCAGACAATTTTACCATCTTGCAGTATTTGCAGCAAATAGGAAAAAAAAATACAGGACTATCTGGATGCAAACATTATTTCAAGAACTATTCTTATGTCATTTCTCTTCTCTCTCTCTTTGAAGGGGTGAATATGGCCTTCACGAATATACAGAAGTCAAGACAGTCACAATCAAAATTCCACAGAAGAATTCATAATGGCGCCACAGAGCTACGTTGGCTACTTGGTCAAACTGCAAAAGCCAGTTGTGTTGTGAAACGCTTTGTAGCAGATTGTATTCCCTGTTTAATTTTGATTTCGTTTTTAGTTACCTTTAACAGTTATGAACAGTAATTTTAAAATTTTGAAATGGTTTCAGTTATGGGGGAAAGGGGGGGGATCATAATGCTGAATCAAATTAACAATTTATGAACTTTATTCACATTTTATTTGCCAGTTTAAATAGATTTGTAGTGCTGTGCAAAATAAATGGTTAAAATATACATTTACAAAAATTGCTCACTTGTATTCTAGAGGTGTTAATTTCCTGTTCTTTTGTATGAGCTTGGCAAAAGCACTTATATATGACTATCAAATAAACAGTTTGCTTTTGCTAATGGTTACCTCTTGAAATCAATTTTCTACTTCCTGCTGTTATTTGAATCTGCTCATATTACAGAACTATTTTGGATGTACACTTTATAAACCTTTCTCTCTTTTTTTTCCAATTGCAATTGGCACATATCAGCAAATGCAATCAGCAGAGTGGTTTAATTTTAAAAAAAATTCCAAGTCCGTATAATGCTGTTGAAGGACTTTGGGGCTATCTCAGGCTACATTTGTCCTTTATTGAATCCTAAAGCAAAACAGATGCCAGTTTTGCTGAATTCGGGTGGACTTGCCATTTTGAGCTATATGAGAGAAAGGCTGGATATATAATTACAATTGGCAGTCCCTTACTACTGATCCTAACCATCGCCATGATCCTTCAGTTCAGAAAACCAACTGACAAAAAGAATTGGAAGTGAAGGAAAACGTGTGGCACTCATGTTCTTTAACTCTGATTTTTAATAACAAACCACTGATTTGCTGTATTGGTTAAGTCACCAGGCTAGAAAGTGGGAGAACATGAATTCAAGTACTGCCTTAGCCATGAAAGCCAGCTTTTTCTCTCAGCCCAACTCACCTCACAGGGGGATGGTTGTGGAACAAATAGGAGATGGAAGGTGTGGTTGGATATGAAGATTGCCTTGAGTTACTCATAAAAATAAAGTAATAATAATGAATAAATAATAATTGGGTTCAACTCTTGATAATCTGACAAAAAACAAGATGGCCACAGATTTCCCCAAGATAACAGAATGTCTTGAAATCAGACGTTTCTTATTTCTTACAAATCCTCAGGGCGTAGAGAAAAAAAAGAATGGCCTTGATGGACAGGAGGAAGAGGTGCAACTCAGACAACAGTGAGATTAAGGAGGACTGAGTCTAGGGCAGGAATGTAGTCAACATCTCTGACAAGCCCTTCCCTAATTCTCATGAAAATAAAGGGAGGGAGGGAGGGAAAGCACATTCAGGCTTGCAAGATTCTGTTACTAGAGCTTTACAACAAAAGTAGCACTGATCTGCATGATTTTGGATTCCTGGTCTAAAGTAATCTTGTAGGGCCAACACAGGTGCTTAAAAGCAACAGTATAATTTGGTAAATGTAATCTAATTACAAATGGAGGGTCCGGGCAGAGAGTCATGTAAATTAGAAGAATGTCAGTCAGTTCTGGGAGCTTGCAATATAATGCATAAAAGAGAATGAAGAGGCCTCCATTTTTAATTCTTTTTTTAAAAAAGTCTTTTTGGACTACAGCCTTGGTGACACAGTGACACAATCAAAAATAAACAGAGGTTTTGTTTGATGGAAATTATTACGTCTTTAAAAAACCTTTACTTTTGAAAGGCGCCTGACATTCTGCTTTTATCAGCACAGTAATTTTTATCATTACTTTATCATTCATTACGTCATGAAAAGCATGCAGCACCTCTGGATCTTTTTCTCCATTTCAGTTTCTCCATGCATTTCCATACAAATATTGTTTGTAAATCATCCCTAATGTCACATAAATTTCCACTCCTCATTCTAGAAAACCTATTTCATTTCCCTTGTTTTAAGGATGGAAGTAACATTCATTTCTGGGCCATTGTTCTCCAAGTGGAAGATTGCCCACTGTACTTCTACAGCTCCACAAAAGGAACAGCCCTCATTCATCAGGCTAACACTATAGATTGGTTACTTGCTTGCTTGTTTAATCAATTTAATTTAACATATCAAGGAACATCAACCTGTGGAAATAACTCGGGCTTATGTGGGGAAAAATCCTGTGCCTGTTTTAAGCAAGACTTGCATTGTTAACAGCCATAACATAGCCTGGAATGGTTTTTACCCCTGCTGAGATATTCATTGAGGGCTGCATCAGGATTGTGTTTGACCTCATTGCGGCTGGGGGAGCATGGATGGGGTGAGTGTGGCCAGGATGGGCATCGCCAGCTCGACGTCACTCATCAAGGCCTTATTTTCAGTTGTGACAGCATCTAGCCCTCTGCCAGCAAAAATGGAGCTGGGGGGGGGGTTTACACACAGAGTGAGCTCCATTTTTGCTGGCAGGGGGCTGCAGGCGGCTGTCACAACCAAAAAGAGAGACTCAATTTTCACTGGCAGAGGCACTCACAGGCCGGTCCTTCATTGTTTCCAGGTGGCCCTGTGGACCACATCTAAACACCTCATGGGCCAGATACAGCCTGCAGGCCTTGAGTTTGTCACCCCTGCTGCAGAATAATACTTCAGTTTCTACATAGACAAGGCAAGGAGCAAAGTAAGGATTCAACAATATATGATAGAATAAAGCTGAAATTACTGTATTTGATTTACATCCTGTATTCCTTCAGGATCTTAAGGTGTCCTCTACTATTTTCCCCTACAGCAAGAAGTCGGGGGGAGAGTGGGCTGAGAAAGTATGTGGACTAAGTGATTCTGGGACTGAGCTTCCTTGATTGAAGGTAAAATGATGTTTCTCATCCTTGGCTAATTTAAGATGTGTGGACTTCAACTCCCAGAATTCCCTAGCCAATCCACACATCTTAAAGTTGCCACGGTTGAGAAACTTAACTCTAAGGTAGACTGAAATGTCTTTCCAGTGTTGGGCCATTACCTTATCCATTATAACACACACTGACTTAAAAATAAAGCTATGAAAAGGAAGAGAACATTGAAGAGTTCAAAACTATTAAAACGCAGGTATCTAACCATGGCTTATTATGCAATATGATAGATTGGTCTGAATCCAAGCAAATCAAATACCATGAAATATTTCAAGCATTAAAAGTGGTAATTAACATTGGCCATTAATACCTACAAACAAATACACACTAATACATCCACCTAAATGCCGTCTAAGCATGCATTTTTTTTCCATTGAAGCCAAGCCCAGCTCTGTGCTAATCCAAAGTGCTGAATTTGCCTACAAATCTTGCCAAAACAAAGAAATACACCTTTTGTGAATTCTGATTCCAGAGCAGCCTAAGATTAATCATGTTTGCCATTGCTCAAGACCATTTGCAATACGCTCGAATGCAGAACATCAGCAACCTGGCAGGAGGTACAAGATTATTCAAACATTACCATGAGGTGCAAATAGAATTTTGCTAACACAAAAGTATTCTGAAAGCCAACATGACTAGCAATCTATACAGTGCCTAACCATCTGAGAAAAAAATTGGAAAGCTGAAAAGAAAACATATTTTTTTCCAAAGAATTTTGGATGATATAGTAAATACATTGTAACCATATGATGTCTGTTGATAATTTTCAATTTGTGCATATCTTTTGGGTATTTTGAGAGAGAAAATCTTCCAAGCATATTCTTACCGCTGCTGGCTAATTTTCACTTAGGAAGATGCTATAAATACTAAATGATAAATTTAAAATGCTTTGTTCTGATTGTTCTGTAATATATGAACCCAACCATCACTCTTAGTAATATCAACAGATCACTATTGCTTGTTTTTCAAGTCTTAATTGTAAAAATCTTAGCTTATTATGTGGTGACATTATCAAAGCCTTTGTGGTTGCGAAAATGTGATTGTGGCACTTCTCAACAACACTAAGCAAGCCCAAAGCATATCAAAATGCTGAAATGTTGATAACATGAGGCAAATACTTCCTTAACATACTTGTATTCTAATGTCTGACACAATTATGTAAGTTAGGGTTAAGATTGATAAGAGGAACTTTCTTGGAGATTCTTTCCTTTTAGTTCCTTTCTTGAATTTGGAAGCAAAATTTCAGGGATTAACAGGGTGGATAGAATTCAAAATGGACAATGCTGAGGGCTGATGGGAATTATAGTTCAGCGTTTTAGAGAGGCTGCAGATCCGCCACTTTTGTTGGGCGTCACTGAACTGAACTGAAGCTTAAGGAACCATTTATGTTGACTTCAACCTTTCCTGAGAATTCATCCTTTAGTTCTTAAAGAGATATGCTTTGCCCCTTCCTTAAGAAGCCATTGCTATATCATATGCAGAACAATTTTCATCCAGTATCTTACCTCCCTTCATTTGGGAAAGGTGATAGGGAACATGGTTGGGCTTCAGAGGGCTTTGGAGATGGGTTATATGGATCTTTTTCAGCCACGATTCAAACCCGGTGTGGGATGGAAATGACATTGGATGTGCTTAAAAATGACCTCTGCTATGCTATGGGAGGGATGGGCTAGTGTAGTGTTGGCGAACCTTTTTGGCACCAAATGCCAAAACGGGAGTGCACATTCATGCACATGCTAGAAACTGGAACAGCAGCCACCCAGTGTGCAATCTTCCTGGCGTGTGCATATGCTCTTCCGGTTTCCTGCATGTGCACATGCACTGGCCAGCTGGTCTTCTGGGTTCTGGTGTGCATGTCTGTGCAAAGACCAGCTGGCTGGCGCACATGCATGCATTGGAAGCTGGAAGAGCAGCTGCCCGGTGCGCAAGCGCACACCGGGACGATTGCATACTGCGTGGCTGCTCTTCCAGTCTCCAGTGCTCCCAAATGCATGAAGACCAGCTGGCCAGTGCGCTGGAACCCAGAAGAGCAATGGGCAACAGCTCATGTGTCTGCAGAGATGGCTTTGTGTGCCACTTCCAGCATGTGTGCTATAGGTTTGCCATCATGGGGCTAGTTCATATATCCTGGTCCTACTTGACCTCTCTGTGGTTTTGATACCTCGACCATGATGTCCTAGATCAGTTCAGAGAGTTAGGAGTAGGTGGTATGCTGTTGTTCTCCTCTGTCCTTCAAGGTCAATTCCAGTTGGTGATGATCACAGGAGGGGGCTTGCCCTTATCCCTTACTAGGAGGGATGCCATGGGGTACGGTGTTCTCTCCTTTTCAACATCTACATGAGGCCACTGAGTGAACTTATCTGTCACCTTGGGTGCGGTATCCTCAATATGCTGATGATTACCAATTATGTATCTTAGTTCTGGCAAACTAAGTGATGCCATTGTTACCCGGCACTTTTGGCTTAGTTATTAGCATTTTAAAATAATATTAGGACTTGTAATGTCTTAAAGTTTTGTTTAAAAAGAAAATGTC